CAGGGGCACGCACAGACAATGGGCAGCGAGCGGGGCCTTGGCCCCCGCCCGTCTGAGCCCAAAGCTGACGGGCTGGCCGTCGGGGCTCACCCCCGCCCCCTGCCCGGTGGCTCCCGCCTCCGGGCCTGCACTGGCCGTCGACCCCTCCCCTTAGGGCGCCCTCCTACGCGCGCCCGCCCGCCTGCCTCTCTCCCGTTGGCGTCGGGAGCCCGTCGGGGGCCAGCGTCCGCCAGGGGGCGCAGCGACAATGTGCTCTCTGGATTTTCCCTGAGAATCCACTGAACCGGCCGCTATTGCCGCCTGCCCTGGGGCTGTCCCCTCGACGTCACCCCAGGCTTCGCGGGTGTCCCCTCTCTCCCCCATCCTAAGTGGAGGAAGAAAAGCTGTGGTTCTGGGCAGCGACTCTGGGGAGACGCCTTCCCTCCCAGGAACCCCCGATGGCTCTGGCTCGGTAGGGAAGGAAAAGGGGGAGACTGGGGGTGGAGGTGGGGCTGTGGTCAGGGAAATCCCCGGTGGTGGGTTGGGGGCGAGCTGACTAAACAGAGCTTGGCCATGAAGAGAAACCTGAAGAAGCGGTAGTTTGTGTTTATGGGCCGGAAGGTGCACACTAGTGGCTGTGTGTGTGTGTGTGTGTAAGTGGGACAATGCAGAAGTGAATGCGTGTGAGAATGCACACGAATGTGTTCTGAGTGTACACACTCCTGTGTGTTTTCACGTACAGAAACTCCCCGGTTTAAGGAGGGATGTTAGAAGCCTTTCTAAAGAATTTTGGGATTTGACTCAGGTCAGAGGGATCATCAAGTCATCTTGTCACAGCCACCACCTGGGGCAGTGTACCATCTTCTATGTGTCAGGAAGGAGGTGGCAATTACTGTCAGGAGAGACCCAGTTGACTGAGGAATAGAGAATGTCTGGGACTGTGTGTGGAGGTGGGTGAATGGGTGGGTGAATGTGTGCATGGGGAGATTAAATATGCATATATGTGTCACTCTTGCCCTGTGTACCTTGTGTCATCCAATGGTGTGTCATCCTGTGGTATGTGTCAAGCTGTGCATGTCACTAGGGGAGAGGTCTGAGCCAGCAACCAAGGTAGTGTCAAGATGAACAAGGCCTGGAGTGTCTGAGTCTCTGAGAACTAGGCTCGGGAGGAAGGGCAATGGAATAGATGTCAGGTGTATGTGTGGTGGGGGAGGACTGGGAAGAGAAGGGCCGCTGGCTAAAGTGAACCCAGAATAGGAAACTTGTGCTTCCATGTTTTGATTATTTTTGGATTTTTCTGCCAAGTTCCTGTCTTGCCCCCAAACTCTGGTTCTTTCCATTCTAACCAGGCTGGGAGACGCCTCTGTTGTACACTTTTCTCTCCCCTCCCAGGGACTCCAATTCAGGTTCAAGACCACGTTGGCCTTCTATTGAAGAAGTGGCTGCTGTTTCCTATACAGGACATGGGGGGCACTGCCAGCCTAGTTATCATGTCCCCTCAGCACACACCGCTGGCCCCTGGCAGGAGGGAGGATCCCCTCCTGTTTTACAGAGGAAAAATTAGATTAGGTAGCTGTCCAAGGTCCACACAGCTGATAAGTGAATAAATGATAGAGCCAGGCTGAAACCCAGACTATTTTGACTCAAAGCCCAGGCCTTTTTCACCTGACCAGCTGCTAGTGATTGTGATTCCTGCCTCCCTTTTGGATGCTCTCTTTTTCATGTCTTTTGCCTTTAGGATGCTTTCTCACTGAGCAATGTATCTACAGAGTTCCAAGTCCTAGAAATGACCAGGCTTCTCCTCCAAAGCAGGGAAATCACTCTAAGGAATAAATGCCTGATAAGTTTAATTGATCTTCCTGGGGCATTTGCATTTTAAATGAGATATGTATTAACCTAAATGAAGCCTAATGGAGGTTACTTTTGAGGGGATTGTTCTTCCAGGCCCTTTGCCCAGTACAGTGTACCTGGCTCCTCTAAGGATTCAACCCTGAGGGACCATGTGTACTGACCCAGCATTCTCTGAGGGTCCAAAAACCAGTAGTCTCTGCAGAGGGCACCCAGCACAGATGGCTCAAGTAAATAGACAATGTACCATAGGCAGCTTTATCCTTTAGGAGTTTCTCCTCACTGGGGCCTGGGTCAAGTCTTTTGGGCCGGTGGATTGATAAAACCCCAATGGAGGTGGGAGGTGGGCCAACAGAAAGGAAAACCCTGTCTGTGACCACTGTGACAAGCTGAGGTGGAAAGAGAGGAAAGAAGAAGCCAGTATTCCACCCACCAGGAATAGGAGGGAAGAGCAGGAGGGCTCCAGGTCTGGGTCACATTATGGATGACCTGGCCCAAATTTCTATTTGGATCAAATCATCACTCTGTCCATCATTCTCTGTTTCTTTCCTGTATCATCAACTTATCTATCTACTGGACCATAGTCACCAGCATATAAATGTGCTGTAGTATCTCCCATCTAAAAACCCCAAAACTTATTTGACTCCACACTGCCACCCAAGATTGCCTCATTTGTCTGTTTGCTTTTACAGCAAAACTGAAAAGGTTTACCTTAATCACTAACACCAACTTCTTTTCTTTATTCTCTCTTTCCACCCTAATCAGACCTTCGAACCTGCTCCTCCTCCTATCAAAACCATCCCTGACCTCCTTGTTGCTCTATAGTCAACTCTCAGGGCTCATCTTGACTAACCTTTCAGGAGCAGCACCTTCCTTTTTGAAATATTCTGGAACACCATTCCTACCTCCTGGGCTGCTCACCTTCTCAGTCTCCTTATCTGGTTCCACCTAGTGTACCAATTTCTAAACTAAATTGGGACTGTACCCCAATTCAATTGGGAACCTCTTCTCAGTCTACACTCACTCCTTTGGTGAACTCTCTAGTCTCATGCTCCCTAATTTATATCTCTGGACCCTCTGAACTTGCACATCTAACAATTGAATAAGCATCTCAAAAAGGCACATGCTCAAAACTTGAACTCCTGATTCTTCCCTTGCCCTAACCTGCTCTGTCATCAGTCATCCTCATCTCAGTAAATGGCAACTCCATCCTTCCTTTAGTTGCTCAGGAAAAAATAAATTTAAAGTTATCTTTGACTCATCTGTTTTCTTATACTGAACTTCAAATCAATCAACAAATCCTGTCCTTCTGTCTTCAAAATATATGCAGAATCGAATCCATTCTTACCACCCTACTGCTACCATGGTAGTTTGTGCTTATGGGCCGGAAGGTGCACAGTAGTGGCTGTGTGTGTGTGTGTGTGTGTGTGTGTGTGTGTGTTTGTGTGCGCGCGCGCGCGCGCGCTTCTACCCTTGCCCTTTCCACACACACAGTCTATTCTCCATACAGCAACCAGAGCATTTTTTTTCTAAAACAAATGTCAGATTATTTAATTTCTCTGCTCAGAATTTTCCAGTGATTCCCCATCTCACTCAAAGAAAAAGGCAAAATCTTAACAGTAGCCTACAAAGCCCTTTATGATCTGACCCTGCTCCTAGCTTGTCCTCTCATTGTATTGCCTACTGCTCTCTCCCAGGTGGGCTCCTCCCTCTCACCACCCTGGCTTCCTTGCTAATTCCTTGAACATACTAAACAAGCTCCTGTTGCAGGATCCTTGCACTTGCTTTTCTGCCTTCTGAAATGCCCTTCCTCAGATACCTCCATAGGTTTGTTTTCTCACTGCCCCCCCCTATAAAATGAAATCCCCTTATCTCCTTTACCCTGTGCTATTTTTCTTTGTATCACTTTTGATCCCTGAGAATTTTAAAAGCTTGAAGTATAAAATCAGTAGCAAATCGGCCCTCTGGAATAGAAACCCGGGAGAGAGATGTCTGAGGGGAGAGGAGCTTTACCTTAATCTTGGTGTCTGGGGAGGAAGCAGGGGAACAGGGCTGAGTTTGTGGGCAGAGGAGCCTACCTTCCTTTGAAGCACCAGCAGGCGGCACTACCTCCTTGGTCTGAGAAGGCATCAGCCTCTGGTAGAGAAGTGGACAAAGTTCTGGGTAAGGTAATCCCACCCACTCTTGGAGCTAACTGCTGACTGTGGGGGCTTCCTGAGAGTCCAGCGCCTTTGGGCTTCGGGCCCTTTGGTGCCTCCAGGTGGTGGCCTACGGTGCTGCAGCAGAAGGCGTGAGAGGAGGAGGGTGGGCAGCACAGCTGAGCTCACCACTGCGGGCGCATCCATCCCTCCTGGGCCTATAATTTGGGTTCCCCGGGCCTGGCCGCCCCTATCAGCGGCTCAGCAATAGATGACTCACTCGGGACCCTGGGCCAAGGCAAACACAGCGGGAGGAGGAGAAGGAGGTTTCCGAGGCTGCTCTTGGCTTTAGCCACCGCCTCAGTTGCTGGATCCCCCAATCTCCAGAGGCCCCCATTCTTTTTTGACCCCCGCCCTCCAGGGCCCCAGTGTCCTTCCCAGATAGATCCTGCTACACCCTCCATCCCTATGATGGGAAGGCAGCCCTCCACTCTTCTCATCAAGGAGCAGGGGGATCAGCTTGTTCCCACTCCCTCCCTGAAGTAATGACAGCCCCTCACTTTCCCCTCTAGTCATGGCCCCAACCCTTGTCAAGGTCTCTCTGGTTCCCGCCCCTCCCCTTTCCTGGAGCTGGCCGCGTGCTTGGGATATTAGGCAATGGGTGTGTACCCACAGCCCTCTCCAGGCCCCGCCTGCCCCACCACCCTCAGCGGCCTGCCTGCGGGTCAGTGCTCAGGCCAGCCGGTCGGGCTGAGGGCACTGGGGGCCAGCTCAGGCCACCCAGTCTGCCTGCCTTTGGCCTCCTGTCCCAGAGCTAGGCTTCTGCAGGAAGAGAGACCAGCTGTATGGGTTTTTGGATTTGGGGCAGGCTAACTTGTGGAGCCCTGGAGTCACTGAGAAGTTGCAATTGATGGTTCTGACCCTGGCTCTTCCTTGGCATCTGACTATATTGCAGCCTGACAAGGACCGAACCAGAAGATACAATCCAAAACCTGAGGGGGTCTCAGAGACACATGCCCAAGTGATCCCCATGGGAGAAGAGGGGACTAGGACACCTCATTCCCCTCCTCCAGGGACCTGTGTGGATTTCTAGGCTGACATGCCGGAAGAAGGATGAAGACACTGGCAAGAATCACCAAATCCAGGTGTAAGGATGAAAGCTACTGGGATAGGTCTTGTGGATTCTGATGGCCTCAAAAGCCACACTTGGTTTGGTTCTTGGCCCCTAAACAGGAAGGAGAGGCAAGAGCGCTAGGATACCTTCTCCCCCCACCTCCCTCAGGTGGGAACGCAGAAAAAAAAGCAACCCTCTGTGGTCACAGCTGTCCATTGGCAGGAACCATAGCGTTCATACCTCTCCAGCTTGCTCAGGCCTGGCACATAACGGTGATCAATAAATATCCCACCAGATAAAAATCTCTGATCTCTCCAGACTGCTCTGCCTCCTAGACAGCAGTGTCCCCTGCAGCACGGGCCAGGACTCCAGAAGCGCAGGCTGGAGGCTGGCTGCTCAGCAGAGCTGCATGGCCACCACCAAGGAAGAGATGACTGTGGATGTGGGTTTCAGCCCCGTGGCTCTGCTTCCCTGGGGGGCCTGTCTCTGAGTCAGCGTGCCAGCCTTGGGATCGAAGGGCCAGCCGTTCCTTGGGCTGCGGTCTGGCAGGGGCAGGGGGGGCGGCTGGGAAGCCTGGGGCCCCTCTCTGGCAAAAATAGCCCACAGTGGTTAGAGCTGGGAGGGTGAGTCAGGCAAGAGTGCAGTGGCACCTAACCCCTTCACTGCCACTGGAGCTCCCTAAGGTAGCTTGCTTTGCCTGTGCACCCCAAGATCAGGCTCTTTCCCTGGCTGTCCTAGGGCTGGGCTAAGTTTGGGGTCCTTAGGTCCTCCTCATTTCATGTGAAGCAAGTCTATGAGCCTGGAGCAGGAATATGGGCCACCCAGAGTGCAGACCTGGGATCCTGGGAAGGGCAGGAGACCTCTGGACAAGGATGCCTGCAAGCTAAGGGAAGCACGGGGCAGGCTGAAGATCTTTGGGGCTACAGGAGCCTCTGCTGGGACCAAACTCTGAGACCAAAGCTGACCCCTCCCAAGGGGCAGGCGCAAAGCTCGGAGGTGGGTGGAAGCCCAGCCACCCAGAAGGGAGCTTCTCCCGCTGGCTCCCAGTGCCCCGTGGTGCGCTCTTGCTGAGGGCTCTACAGGAAACTGTCCGACGAGAGAAGTTAGTTCTCAGTTCTGTCTTCGTCTTGTCAAAGGCATCCTCCAGCCATCCAGCGCTCTGTGGGGAAACTGAGGCAAAGAAAAATGACCACTTGGAACCTGGGTCCCGGCTCTCTAGTCTGGGTCAGCGCACCCTCCTTGCAGCTTTGGCGACTCCAGAGCAGGTGAGAGGAACTCTGGCCACCTCCCCCTTCAGTGGGGCAGAGCCTGAACCCGGGCGTCGGGGGAGAGGGTGTGTGTGTAGGCTGGGAGGAGGGGGAGCGACTGCGCTCCCCGGGTCAAGGCGGGGGGTGCCAGGAGCGGGGTGGGGATGCCCCAGGCTCAGGGAGGGGCCGCAGCTCTGTCAGCCGTGGCAGAGCCGCCCCGGGAGCTCCGCTCGAGTAGAGCCAGAGTCCCCAGCTCCTCGCTCGCCCTCTTCGCTAGCTTTCTCGATCACTCCCTCCCTTCCTCCCTCCCTTCTTCCCGGCGGCCGCGGCGGCGCTGGGAAAGCGGCGAAGAGGAGTGGCCCTGCCCTGGAAGAATGCGGCTCCGCCGAGGGGGCAGAACCCGACGCATTCTCCCCACGGTTTGAGCAGCCCGAGTCCAGGCGCCCGGACCCCGCCGGCCGTGGACCCCGCACCGGAGCCGCTGGAGGTAATCGGAACCGGGAGAGCGGGGAGGGCGGGGAGGGCAGGGACGCGCACGCCGGGACCAGACAGGCACACGGGTAGTCAGACACGCATCCGCCCACGGGGGCGCAGAGATGCAGAGAGAGCCAGAGATATTGCCGGAGATAAAGAGCCAGCGAATAAAGGAGTGCCCCCAGATTTGAACGCGATAGCGCAGGGGTGGGGACTGAGGTTGGGACCTGTGAGGACCGGAGGGGCGACGCTGGGAGGCAGGAACCAGTCGTTGGGGCGGACGAGGAAGGGGACTCAGCCTGCACCGCGCGCTCCCTTTCGGGCCGGAACAGGTCCCCTGCCCGTCGTGGCCGCACCTGGAGGCTCCCTTCCTTCCCCGCTGGTGGAGCCGGTGGGGAGCCCGTTCCTCCGCCCTTCTTACCGAGCTGCCTGCCCTCGACGGCACCTGGAGGCGACCCTCTCCCCACCCCCACCCGCCGGCTGTAGGTGGCGGGGAACCCCCTCCCAATCCCGCCTCCCAGCTCTGGGAGGGCGTGAGGCTGCGTTGGGCGGGAGAAGCGAGTCGTGGGGCCCTGGAAGAGGGAGCGGTGGGCGAGGCGGTGGAGCGGTGTCTGTGAGTCTGTGTGTCTGCATGTGACTGTGCGTGTGTCTGTGCGCCTGGCATTGTGTGTGGGTGGGTCCCTCCTGGGCGCTCGAGTAAGTCCCAGCTGCGAAGCCTCGACTCTTCCTCCAGGGCCCAGAGCCTGGGACTCAGGGGGTGATTCTTACTGTGTCGTTTGGGGAGAGACGAGAAGGGCCAGTGGGGTGACACTGGTGAGTGAAGAGCTCGAAGTTGGGCATCCTGGGGGGGGGGGGCAGGCGAGCCACTGCCCCAGGGCCCTCCTTGAGCCCCCCTGCCCCGCAGTCCCTGACCGGTCTGCCCACCGGGGCCTTCGGGCCCGGGCGTCGACATGCGGGAGCAGCCCCGGCCGCGGCCTCCGCCCTGGGGCCTCGCGGGCCTTCTGGTCCTGGCGCTCTGCAGTCGGTGAGCACCCAGCCCCACCCCACCCACCTCACGGCCGGGTGGAAGCGCCGCCCCGGCGGGCGGGAGGGCTCGGAGGGGGCGCGAGGCCTGGACCACAGACCCAGCGACGCCTTCTCGCTTCCCAGGGCTCTGAGCAATGAGATCCTGGGCCTGAAGCTGCCCGGCGAGCCGCCGCTGACCGCCAACACCGTGTGCTTGACGCTGTCCGGCCTGAGCAAGCGGCAGCTGGGGCTGTGCCTGCGCAGCCCCGACGTGACCGCGTCCGCGCTGCAGGGCCTGCACATCGCGGTCCACGAGTGTCAGCACCAGCTGCGCGACCAGCGCTGGAACTGCTCGGCGCTCGAGGGTGGCGGCCGCCTGCCGCACCACAGCGCCATCCTCAAGCGCGGTGAGCCCGGCGGGGCCGGGGCTGGGGGGCCGGCCCAGGGGAGAGGAGGCGGGAAGGGACCGGTTCACGACTCGGGAGGGGCCTCTCCGGGAATTCCCCCGACAGCCTCGAGGAGCTGGGTTTGGCCACCCGTCTGGGCCCCTGCGCTTCTGGCTTCCACCTGCTCGCTGCGGGCAAGGCAGCTGGGTCCGTGTTCCCCTACTCTAAGCCCCCCCCCCCCTTCCTGCTTACACCCTGCTGGATCTGGGTTGCACCTGTGAGCGAGATGCCCCCAGCCCTGGAAGCTTCAAACGCCCCCCATTCACGCCCCCAATTTCACCCTCCTCCCTCTCAGAGGGACAAGCCCAGGCTGGTGTCCCCAGAACCTCAGTGGAGGAGGGGGGCCGCCCCCAACCGTTTAAGGGTTAAATCTACTCTCCTAATTGCTGGGGTTCCCAGGAGCTGAGACTGGGAACAAAGACCCTGATGGCTTTGAAGCAGGGGAGCAGCCCCCCTCCTCTGTGCTGTGGGGGCCCCAGGTGGCTCTCACCTGAGCAGGTGAAGAACTGGCTGGAGGGGTGGAGAACAGGTCACTGCCGGCCTGGTCTGGGAAGCATCAATGCCTCTCGCCAGGCCATGCTCGAGTTTACACCTAGGAAGAGTAAAGATCCACCCTGGGCTCAGCTTAAGGCTGGGGGCAGTACTTCGGGGACTACAGGGTTAATAGGCAGCTGCCATCTGCGGGGGAATTCCCAAGACGTGTGCAAACAGCTTCACCCCTGGAGGGCTGGGGTTGGGGGGGACCAGGAGGTTGAGCCAGGAGCCCTGCATCCTGAGGTGGGCAAGGCCTGGCCCCTAAGGAGCTGCTGTCTCTCAGGGTTCCAGGGAGCCCCTGCCTAAAAGGAAGTGAGGGATCCCCTCTTTCTTCACAGGACGTGTTGTAGGGGGAAGGCTTTGATGCCCAAATGAGAAGCATATCTACCTGAGGCTGGGGAAGGCTTGTCATCCTGAGCCTCTGTGACCCCAAAAACAAAAACAAAGGAGCCAACGTTTTAAGAGGGCCTTAGGGAAATCACCCCCACCTCTCTCCCCTTCCCAGCATTTTATAGAGTAATAGCAGGTTAGGATAAACTTAAAGAGCAGCCTTAAGGACAAATATAAAACTAGAAACTGGAAAGGTGAAGGACAGCGCCACAGCTACAGTGCTTTGGAGGTTTGGGGGTGGTAGAGGGTAGGTTGGTTAAAATGCTGATTAAAATAACCCCGAAGAAGAAAAAAAACGAACCCCTATTGCCTGTGCTTCCACCCCACCCAAGCTCCCTGCAGGGCTGGGGAATTTCTAAGGCTTTCAGATGTAGAACTCAGTGAACACATCTTCAAAGACCACGGGGACTCCCTTTTAGTCGTCTCCCAACCCAGGGGTCTTTCCCTCTAGGCTAGCTCTTTCATCCACACCTGAAAATCCCAGACTTACAGAGCAAGAAGGGGCCTCATCCTCTCAATTTATAGATGAGGAAACCGAGGCTCTGCGCTTTCAGTTCCCCCTTTTCTTCTAGGATTTCCCCCCAAATTACTCAGCTAGTAACGGCAGGGTCAGGATTCAGTTAGGAATTTCTGGAATTGGAGGATGGCTGTTTATTTCCCTCTACCTCCCTGCTCTCAGCTGCCTGTCAACCTTACCCTCACCGTCACACCCTTTTATCCCCAGGTTTCCGTGAGAGTGCCTTTTCCTTCTCCATGCTGGCTGCTGGCGTCATGCACGCGGTAGCTACAGCCTGCAGCCTGGGCAAGCTGGTGAGCTGCGGCTGTGGCTGGAAGGGGAGTGGCGAGCAGGATCGGCTGAGGGCCAAACTGCTGCAGCTGCAGGCACTGTCCCGGGGCAAAAGTTTTCCCCACTCCCTGCCTAGCCCGGGTCCTGGCCCAGGCCCCAGCCCCAGCCCCAGCCCCCAGGACACATGGGAATGGGGTGGCTGTAACCATGACATGGACTTTGGAGAGAAGTTCTCTCGGGATTTCTTGGATTCCAGGGAAGCTCCCCGGGACATCCAGGCACGGATGCGAATCCACAACAACAGGGTGGGGCGACAGGTACGTGTGCAAATTGTCCTGGGTCTCTCGCTTTCCGGCCTGGCCCCAGTTTGAGAGGCATAGCAGAGTAAGAGGATGAGATATGATGAGTGATTGTCACCATCCGGGTAGCCCTGAGCAAGTGACTTAACCTCCGTTTTGCATATGTAAAAAGAGTCTAAGGATACCTGCCTTACAATGTCATTAAGAGAGAGCTAGTAAATAGAGCCCCCAGCAGAGTCCCTCGTCCTTGACAGGTGCTTGTTACATGATAGCTATTATTACAGCTTTCCTCCCTATGGAATTTCGGGGTGCTCTGGGCCCAGACTCCCCATTTTAGCAGCGCTCACTCTGGAAAGAGCACTGGAGTGGGAGTCAGGACAACTGGACTTATCCAGCTAGTGACTGAAGATAGGCAAATCCCTCTGCTCTGGCTTCAGTTCTCCAACCATACAATGAGGGAGTTGGGCTATCAACCAGCTTATTTTTCTTCTGATATTCCACAATCATTTGGTCATTCTTGCCTCTATTTGTCCCTCCTTTTGCCTCCCTGTTCCCTCCCCTCTTCTGTGTCTCTGTGCTCTATCCATTTACTGCCCTTTCCTTCACCTCTCCCCCCTCTGATGCTCTAGGTGGTAACTGAAAACCTAAAACGGAAATGCAAGTGTCATGGCACTTCAGGCAGCTGCCAGTTCAAGACCTGCTGGAGGGCAGCCCCAGAATTCCGGGCAGTGGGGGCAGCATTAAAGGAGCGACTGGGCAGGGCCATCTTCATTGATACCCACAACCGCAACTCCGGAGCCTTCCAGCCCCGCCTGCGTCCCCGCCGCCTCTCAGGAGAGCTGGTTTACTTTGAGAAGTCTCCTGATTTCTGTGAGCGAGACCCCACTGTGGGCTCCCCAGGCACGCGTGGCCGGGCCTGCAACAAGACCAGCCGCCTGCTGGATGGCTGTGGCAGCCTGTGTTGTGGCCGTGGGCACAACGTGCTCCGGCAGACGAGAGTTGAGCGCTGTCATTGCCGTTTCCACTGGTGCTGCTATGTGCTGTGTGATGAGTGCAAGGTCACAGAGTGGGTCAACGTGTGTAAGTGAGGGTCAGCCTCACAGCAGGCTGGGGAAGGGGAGGGGCGCCTTTTCAGCCTTTTGCTCTAATTTCTGTCCACGGTCAATCTTGGCCCCTGGAAGTTCAAAGTATCTACCTGGAAACACCTTTGGGCATGGGGTGCGGGTCAGGTGGAATCTGTCATGTGTGGCCTTCTCCCCCACAGTTGAAAGGCCTTGGAGGGGGGGAAAATGTCACCCCTCTTTTACTCCTTAAACACCTGGATGGGCTAAGATGAAATGCACTGTATTGTCCCCCTCTCCCCAACCCTGGGCCTTTAACTCGGATTCATACTCCTTTCAACTGGGGAGTCCCTATAGTTTGACCACTCTTCTCCTTTGAGGGCTAGCCCCAGGCATTGTGTAGAGCCATGAGACCTATATCCAGAAAGAAACCACTCACTCTCTTTGCTGTTCATGAACTCCTCTACTGCAGCCTGAGGCCCCTCTTGTGGGGTAATGGGAAACAGTGGTAGAGAGGTTTTTCTTAGGGATGGAACAGAGTGCTGAGGGGGGATGCTCTCCCCTAAGTTCTCAGAGTCATCTGTCCAGGCCCTTAGGGAAGCTGTCTGCCCGCCACCCCCCCCCCATTCAGATGTTAAAGGGGAGCCTCCAAAGGAAGAGTTTTACCTACAACTTTCTGAGCCTCTCTTTCTTTCTTTAGCAGGAGGGGTGGGAATGGATAATTTATTGTACTGAGATTTGTTCTTGGTTCCTGTTTATAACTAAAATAAATTAAGTTACTGGACTGGTGGATGCAGATGGTGATATTTCTGTCCACACTTGGGATCCCAGTCCATGGCTTCTTTTCCAGGTGAATTCTCCTACCCTACTACACTCAATGACTTTATCTATGTGTAGCCTGCTGGTCCCACAGAGGATTTGAAATGGGCCTCAGTGAATTAGTTGGCAACTCTTAATGTGGGACCTAATTATAGGCTTTATTTATTCTCTACGTGCCTCAACTCCAGGGATTGCCTCAATCACTGCCCTAGAACAAGGACTAGCTGCCCCCCCCCCCGAAAAGGTCTTGATAGTAAATATATTAGGTTTGTGGGTTTTGTCACAACTACTCAACCCTGCAATAATTACTCAGCTCTGTTGTTGTAGATCAAAAGCAGCCATAGACCATACATAAACAAAAAGATTCCAACACAATTCACACAAACAGACTGCAGGACCAGATTTGGTCCTCTGGCTATAGTTTGTTGACCCCTGCCCCACACTTTGAGGTCACCTCTGTGTTGGGGTTTTCTTTGTTATATATATAAATATATTTTTATTGATTTCAGAGAGGAAGGGAGAGGGAGAGAGAGATGGAAACATCAGAGATGAGAATCATTGATTGGCTGCCTCTTGCATGCCCCACACAGGGGATCGAGCCCGTAACCCAGGCATGTGCCCTTGCCTGGAATCGAACCTGGGACCCTTTATTCTGCAGGCTGATGCTCTATCCACTGAGCCAAACCGGCTAGGGCATGTTTTGGGGTTTTCAAGTCCTGAAGGTATCTCATTGTTGAACCTGCACCCAAAAGAGCAGGTGCTTTTCTCTCTGGCTCCAAATCAGAGAACTTGGGAGGTAGATACAAGATTAATGGGAAACATATAAAAGGGATTCCTGTGCTCAAAAGGGAATTTTTTTTTTGCTCTGGAAACCAGCAACACCAGCATGCCCTCCCACTGAATTATTTGCATATATATTTTGTCCTTCCTTATTCAGAGCTCTTCTGCATTTAATTTTAATCTTAGTGAAATAATTCCTTTATCTTTTAGAAGAAACCATAACTAGGGAAAAGATAATGTCTTTTATTCCAATCTTTCTATTCCTAGCCTGATATTTTTTTTAAAACAAACCATTATCTTTCACTTGGAAAAGTGACTGCTTATGGGGTTGCAAGATCCTGATTCTAACAGGTCATCTCCTTGGCCAAGGAATGTACAATTAGAATGTAGAACAGGGGTCCTCAAACTACGGCCCGCAGGCCACATGCAAATACAAATATTGTATTTGTTCCCGTTTTGTTTTTTTACTTCAAAATAAGATGTGTGCAGTGTGCATAGGAATTTGTTCATAGTTTTTTTTTAAACTATAGTCCAGCCCTCCAACGGTCTGAGGGACAGTGAACTGGCCCCCTGTTTAAAAAGTTTGAGAACCCCTGATGTAGAATGTAGAGAAGTACATTTTACATTCTAGGCCAGTAATTTTCAACTGGTGTGTCACAATAATTTTTAAAATTGATTATTTAGAGAGAGAGAGAGAGAGGAGAGGGATATCAGTTGCCTCCCATACACACCCCAAATGGGTATCGAACCTGCAACCTAGGTATGTGCCCTTAATGGGAATTGAACCCATGGCCTTTGGAGTAAGGGATGCAATGATGCTCCAACCAACTGAGCTATCTGGCCAGAGTCTCAAGAATTTTTTAAACATGCAATACTTGACTATTTAGTCAGGGGCACTGACCTCTTTTTCCTTAAATTGTCAAATAAAAAAAACTACAACAGCTAACACAATAACTGTCCAGGGTGAATGAATCAAAATTATACCTATTTTTTTTGTCAGATGGGCAGAGAATATATTTTTTGGTGTGCCACAGAATTTTAGTAATTAGTTTATGTGTGCAATGAGATGAAAAAGGTGGAAAATCTATTGCTCTAGGCAATAGATATATCTGCTGCCCAAATTACTCTCAAAATCAGGTGAAATGATGGTAACACCAGGGCAGTAAGAACATTTTGAGGAGTGTTGGGTTAGGGAAGTACTTTATGGCAAAATTTTATGTCCTAAATTTCCACTTGAATATTGAGAATTCTGGGTTTGGAAATTTGATGGAGGCAGGAAGATATCTCATCCTTACTTAGGCACTGACTGTATCTGGTGAGCATATGAGGATAGTGGGGGAGAGAGAGGGATGTAGCTAGAATGGACATAGATTATGAGAGAGAATAATGATAAGGAATATCCAGATGGGAATTTTGCATACTCAGTAAGAGCAAGGAGAATCTCCAATGGAGTCACAGCAAGAATATTTTAGCTTTTTCTGGTTTCCTTCCTCTGTAGTCCTTTTGACTCCTTCTCTCTTTCTAGCTCTCATCTTTCGTCACACATACTCTGTGGCAAACTTAAGCCCCAAACCACAACCTTAAGAAATTCCAAATGGATTTTGTCAGCAAGGCCAACACCCCCTCCCCCCTTCCACACCCCTGCTCCAGGCACACGCTCTGGGCTCAGGCCCAGGCCTGGGGTCAGTGGCAGGAGTGGGAGTGTGCAACCCACAGAGCGGGTGGCTACAATTTCAGCTTTTACTTAGCTCCAGTGGAAGTCAGAGGGAGGGAGAAAGACTGATGAACTCTAAGTCAGGTCTGTGCCTCCTTCAGCTCTAGATGAGCTCTTCTCCCTTAGCCTTTCAAGTGGTTGGGAAGCTGGAGAGTGGCAGTGATTGGCTAGTTGCCAACTGGGCAGCACCCCTCCTATCTTTGCACTTGTTTGCTCCATGGGAAGCACCCAGTGATGCTGCAACAGACATTTTCTTCTCGAGACTCCAAAGGAGTAAAGGACAGAAGAGCTGGGAGATTCTCTAGTTCCATTCATCAGTTCTGACTCAAATACCATGGTACTTGCTGCTTACCATTTCCATCCTTCTGTCACACCTGGGACCCAACCTTGAGAGCATCTGAAGTTTTGGGCAGTATCACTGGCAAGTTCCACCTCCTCTAAGAATGCCACAAGTCACGTTAGTGTCATTGGGTATTAGAGAAAGGGTTTTTAAAGGATAATTTTTGTGATCAGTGTGGGTGGGGGCATAACCCGGTGGGGTGTTTCTAGAAAATTCTAGGAAAAGAAATGGAAAAAGTAAAGTAATTATGTGGAGGTATCACATGACCCACTCTAGGAGTCTGTAATAACACTGGAGGAGTCTTCTGCCACTTAAAATATAAAACGTAGCAGGGTAAAAGCCCTTAAGGGCTACAGCTCAGGACAGATACAACTCTTAGTTATAAACATGCTCCTTGTTATCCATCTCATCCCTCACCATCTTAAAGTAGGATCCTCTTGTCTTCACATTCTAGGGTCATGCTATTCTCTAGGTTAAAATATGGAAGAAAACAGACTGGGATATGAGGAAGAGACTGGTGAATGCATACACCAGGGATCGATGGGGTAAGAGGTAGACATAGTGTGGCTATCTACCAGCCTACTCCTTCTTGGCAGGATACAAGAAACAAGGCCCCAAATCCAGAAAAGCAAGTTTTGGCTCAGGGCTTAGGGAAGAGCCGTGTGTTCTCTTATACAGCTGTCAATGCAGAGCGAGGGCACTTAAAGAACCTTCTTCTGTTCTTAGCATTGCTAGTGCCGTTCTTTGATGACAGTCTTGAGTGTTCCAACACAACTCTGCAGGTGCCGAAATGAGTGCGAGGGAAGTGGGGGTGGGCAGGAATAGAGGAACATGGATGCAAAGTCTCTCACTTTCCTTGGGGTACTAAAATTCATAACCACCCAGGTACACTTCCTCAAACCACACCTCAGCCTTCAACATTCCAGCTTCCTAGCAGGCCCAGAGTTCAGATGTTTCCTTCAGTCTCTTAAATTCATCACTCTCCCTTCTCTCCCCTATGGGAAAAGATATCTTGATTCCGACCCCTGAATAACCTAGTGCTGAGCAGTAACACGGTGTCGGAGCGCTCTCAGGGGGACGCTGTAGCCCTGGTTCATCCAGATGAAGCCTGGAGGAGTTAGGCGGCCACAGCAAGGCCTGTGCACTCAGACCCTGCTCCTGGCCTTGCCCAAGGTGCCCCAGGCTCTCAGCTCAACCCGTCTCCAGTGTGGCCAGCACGCGGCCCCAGTCCTTAAATTTCAGGGGTGGCCCTGGAGCTTTGTATTGTCACCACAGTCCTCGCTGGTTCAGCCTCATTCCCTGGCTCCTGCTTCCACTGCCCACAGCCTTCGGCCCCCACATCGCCCCCGCCCGGGCTTCAGCTCTAACACCCGGATGCCTCCGCAGCAGCCGCTGCCATGGTGATGGCTCTCGCGAGAACTGCCGCTCGCTGCCACGCAGTTCTCGCGCGATCGGGGAGGTGGGAAGTATCCCGGTCTGGGGGTGGGGTGCGCCGCACAGTCCTTGTCGCTGTCGCGGCTTCCGGTGCTAGGTAGAGGGGAGGAAGGAGGGAGTCGGGGAGCGGGGCCAGGGGAGCAGCGGCGTTGAAATCGGCTGGGGGAGCCGGAGGGAGCCGAGCGGAACCTGCGGGGGCGGAGGCGGCGGCCGCAGCGGCAGAGCTGGGAGCAGGAACAGGTGAGGGGCTGCGGAGGGAAGGCGGGTCCCGGTAGAGGAGAGGCTTGGGGTGGGGGCTGAGGACATGGAGCCCCCTGCCGGGCACTGCCTGGCTTTGGGCTGTGTGGTCCTTCTCACCCGGGAGCTCGCAAAGGGGACGCGGGGCCACCCTCACGCCTGCTCCCGCATTTGAAGGACG